GCTTGACTTTGTTTGAACCAATTGTCTCTCAAATAAGAACAAAATTTCTCAGAATGCTTTAGCTTTGCCAATAGTATTCGTTCCAGGGGATCACACAGAAATCAGTGTAATGGGGAAAATTGCCGTCTTCCAGAAAACTTAGATATTCAAGCTCTCACGTGTAGAAGAAGCCTTATCTGCTGTTGGATTTTTTTTTTAAATACTGTTTCTAAATTGTTGTTACCTGCTCTTTTGTTTCAATGTTTGGTTTCCAAGAATTATGGTTCCACAAGGCACAATAAGTGTATCAACACGATCCAAGTCTCTTACTCCAAATTGTTTTGTTGCTTTTGACTTTTCTTTTCCATCTGAATAGTTACATTTTTCTGGAGGATTTTCACATAAACTCAGTGAAAATATAAATCACCAATGTTGTTGAACCAGATGCAATTATAACTCTGTAACTGGTGTTGAAAATTTCACATTTTAAAACAGTATACACAAGGATATGGCAATAATATGTAATACAAACATGTAATTATAAATATAAGGTAGAAATAGGGCAATAACATGTAATATAAACATCTTATATAAACATATAAATATGGAGTAGAAAAAAAATAAAACAGTATATTGGAAGCCCAGGGCTCCTCCCTTCCTTTCATTAAGTTGCTTCCTAACTTGGCACTAACTTCAGTATGACTGGAGAACAAGTTACTAGAATAAAGAAAAATTACACAGGGAGATAAGTTGTGTTTACATAAAACAAAAGTAATCTAAAGAGCCTTTAAAATATGGGAACATTATTGTGATTATAAAAGCAGTGCATTTTATTATAAACACTTAGGTAATAAAGAAATATAAATGTAAATATAATATATTGGAACCCCTTACACTCATATATATAGAAACACATACACATAGGTATAAGTGAACTATACTGATAAAGATTAATTATAAAAATGATAGATGACCATAAAAATAGATTTGAAAAACTGTGCCTCTTTTCTACCCACTGTGACCCAGTTTGCTGAGTGTGGATCTTTGAATGGCACCTGCCATTATGATATTTTTAAAATTTTCATTTTGCAACAAAACTTCAATTTTGTTGGCCTTAAAATTCTCATTTCTTGACAGGAGCCCATCAAAACCTATTCCTATATTCCTACAGTATTTGCAACATACTTCGAGGTTGTCAGCACATTTCTGCTTAGTCTAGCTGTCTTTTAAACATCATTTTGATAACCTATCTCATTAAAAAGTACTACAGAGGGCTCATGTTTATTTATTATTTGGATATGACTCATGAAGCCATTATTCAAATCTCTGAATGCAATGATTAGTATATTTCATAACAAACATATATCAAAAGGCTTTTTAATATTCTGATAATATCTCCTGTGCTCAGCCATCCATCTTCTAAGGCAAAGCTATCTTTTTTTTTCTGGCAAATTTCAAACATCTGTGGAGCTATCTAATGCAAAAAGCACAGATTTTCTGTGTGACCTTGGACAATCTTGTTACAGCTCCCTATTCTATAAATTTATGGAATGGTGAACATTAAAATGAAGATCATTTTTCAAAAATATTATAATAATTAGAAATTGCAAAGTGGTTTGTGTTTCTTGGCTTAAGTTTTTACGATTTGAGAGATCTTGATCATGCATTAGAGAACACATTTACTCCTTTAAGCCACTAGGTGATTCCCTTAATGACTCAAAACAAGAAACACCCTTTCTGAGTCCCTGCCCGTTTCCCCTGCTCTTGCTTTTCCAGCTCCCTGAAGACTTGCACGTGTGAAGTCACAAACTTGAAGCAGGGAAATCCCTTAGGCACTGCTACCAGTGAGTTAGGTTTGTGCCTGTGTCTCTTCTGGTCAGGTTGTTCTGAGAGGTTGGCCTCTTGGGGTAGCCATAGAAATGGACCTGCGTTTTTGCTTGAGTTCTTTTTTTTTTTTTTTTTTTTTTTTTTGTTGGCACTGGGGTTTGAGCTCAGGGCCTTGAGCTTAGTATACAAGCACTCTACACTTGTGTCATGACTCCAGTTCTTTTTGCCTTTTTAAAAGTTATTTTTCAAGTAGGGTCTTGCATTTTTTTTTCCTGGGCATGCCTGAACCACAATCATTCTGTCTCTGCCTCCCAACTAGCTGTATCACAAGGGCATACCTAGCTTGTTGTTTGAAAAGGAATATCATTAACTTTTGCCAGGACTTACATTGAACAATGATCTTTCTATCTCTGCCTCCCAAGTAGTTGGAATTACAGGCATAATCCACCATTCCTGGCTGCCTGAATCCTTCTTTCTAAGTTGGACCTTCTTTCCATTCAAAGCCACCTACTGAACAGCATTATTGTTTCTAGAATTGAATTTAATGGATTATCCAGGATGGCAGCTTCTTCATTCTTTCTTCATCCTCTTCAATATTTTTCTTTCAATAAGGTGTAGATGCTTGTGCCTATGTCACAAATTCTTGCTTAGGTAATCTATGAAGTTCCCTCTTGAACCTAGGGCTTCTACCTTTCCTTTCTACCTTTCCTTATTTTTTTGTGTGAATAAAGCAGTTAGTTTACTGAGATAGAAAAGTGTAAAGTGGGAGAATTAAGTCCCCAGAATCAGGGGTGGGGGAGAACCAAGAGAGGGTGCCTGAGACATGACATGATCCAAAGCTCAGCTTCTCAAGGCTACCCGACACGAGAGCTCTTTCCTTTTGAACTGATGTCTCAGATATCCAAGCCTGCCTGGATGTCTGGAATTCAGCTCTTGAAAGTCTCAGTTCTTGTGTTCTACCTAATTCTAGGATGAGACCTTCTGTTTCTTGTCTTGGCCTTACATGTACCTGAGACTGAGACTGCTATTCCCCTAAAGTCTTACTCTGTGGGACCCAAGTCAGATTCATTGAACTGGTCACCCTGCTAATGCATGGCTGCTGAACAATTAAGTTCTCTGGCAAAATAAGTTCATAGAAGATGCTGATAAAAGATTAGTTGGTTTTCCTTTTTGCAAGACATACTGAGCCTTTAATATGCTAATATACACTCATACAGATAAATATATATATATATAATTTTTCCAAATATATTTGTTTTAGAAGCATTTGTTTTCTAAGTGTTTCTAATGGCCTACTATTCTATGGAACATAACTTAAAAATGCTTGTTAAAGACTAGGGAATCTCATGGTGTCTCTCAGTTTTATAGACTAATTCAAATATTTAAAAAAATATTTGGAGTGAAGATGAATGAAGTGAAAAAAAAATCTATGTTTAGTCAACTCTATCCAAAGAATAAAGAAATACTGTATTTTTATTGCTAGATGTTGTTTTCTATAATGACACAAAGAAAAAGCAGTCAGTGTGTTATTTTTTTTCAACCAGAGGGAAAATATTTGAGATCTGTAATGTGGCAGTCATAATTCTAGGTTTTGGAGCTTTTATCATAAATAAGATCAATTCTATCCCATGTGTATGAGTTTCTCAAAGCATCATCTAAAATACCTGTATGAAAGTGACTAAGGATATGGAGTCAGGTAAAGTGTACATTGAAAGATGAATGGATAAAGAAATTGTGGCATATAGGTATACAATGTAATATTTTTAGCCACAAAAAGTGAAATCCTATTATTTACAGCTACAGAGATGGAAGTGGAGTATATCATATCAAGTGAAAGGGTAAATATGGTTAATGACTTTATGTGTAAGAAAATAGAACAATGAAACCTTTTGAAACTGTTTTAAGAAAAGGTGAAAAGGGGATGAGGGAGAATGATGAGGGGTGAATCAAATTAAGATGAATTGTAAATACATATGTAAATGTCACAGAGAGACCCCTCTTTACAACTTATATATGCTAATAAAAAAAGAAAGAAGCTAAGAACAGAAAGACAAAAGACATGTTATCACTTATTTGTAGAATCTAAAAACAATGATTTCAGAGAAGTAGAGATTAAAATAGTGGTCATTAGAGACTAGGTAAGGTAAGAGGGATGAAAAAGATAGACAGAGGCTAGATACTAGGAACCAAAATACATATAGAGAGGAGGAATTATTTCTAATGTTCTATAGCACAGTACGGTAACTAAAGTCTATAAGAATTGATATGATATAATACAAAATAACTTGAACAGAGTCCAAAGATTTGCAACACATAGGAATGACCAATGTTGAAGGAGATGGAAATGCTAATTACCCTGATTTTATCATTACACATTGCATATAGGTAATTGAATTATACTATATCCCATTTTATTTTGTGCCAATTAATTTTTTTTAAAAGCAATAATAGAGAATAAAGATACAGTATAGTAACTAAAAACATAATTGGAAGTAAACCTTTTCCTTTGTCTATGTTAACAAGCTCATATAAAAAAATATAATCAGGGGTGCTTGTTAAAATGCATATTTCAGGTTTCCATCCCAAATATTCTGATTCAGTCATGCCCAGGATTTTAAACTAGTACACTTTAAACTAGTACTACATAGCACACATATACACACTAACATTGAAGACATTCTGATATTGAGACTCTGGGATGGTAGAGGAACTTGCTCTCCTGGTGACTCCAGCTTGGGTGGAGACTCATGCTAGCTGGGGTGAGGCCTGGCAGGAAATAAAGTAAGCCTCTCATCTTCTGGTGGGATAACATATATCTGACAGACATGCCATACTTAGTAAATGCTTAAAATGTAGTAGCTCCCTTTGCTCCATCACATCTCAAAGAAAACAACAATTAGCTTAGCCACACCCGGGTTTGCTTCCTATTCATTAATTGGCTTAGTATATTTTTTATTTTACTTTTATTTTTAAATTATACAGATATTGATAAAAACTCAAATGCTAGAGTTCAAATCTCCTGTATTCTGAAAGAGTTTTCTTCCCACATTACACAATTCAAGTCTGCTGGTTTCAGATCTAAACTCTAGAAGCCTCCATCACCACATTTCCTGTTTGTAACTGAACAAGTACACACAAAAGGTTTTAAGAAACAGAAGAGAGGAAAAAACCCTGAGACACTGATGAAGATAAGTGTTACTGTCATGCTGCTTCTAATATAATAGAGAAGCTATTTAGAAACAAAAAAGTTCACGGGAGAATTTTTAGTCCATCCATTTGTTTTATGGCCACATAAGGAGTTTTCTGAAAAAAGAAGCATGTCAGGTAAGTGGCATTTTTAATTCTTTTTGTTCCATTTCTATGCCTAAAAATTCATTTAATAGTTTCCAAGCCCTGACAAAAAGATGCTATTTTGAAAGGAGAATTAAGACAATTATTTTTAAAATGTGCAGTAACCTTTAGTATAATTAGAAAGTATTTTGAAATACACAAATGAGTATATGTTCACTATTTTCTCTTGAAAGAAAAATTGTGGGCAAGTGTTTTATAACATAAAGCTATTTGTAGCTTTTCAATAAGTGTTCATTGGCAATTATGCTATTTTAAGTACTCATTGCTATTAAAGAAGCTTTTGTTGACTATGCATATTCTTTAGTTTACTTTAGATGTAAAGCAGCATGAGAATAACTTCTTTCCAATTCTTCAGAAATTAGTCACTAAGCATCTTCCCAGGAATCAATCCAGTTGTAAACATTCAAAGAGATGACCACTTTGAAAAAGCTAGTGAAAATTCAGTTGCTTGTGCCATGGATTGTGAGGGTTCAACCCACATTGACTGACAGTCAAGAATCCAAGTTGATGGTTCACTCCTCTTGCATTCTTGCATTCTTTTGTGTACTTTTCATTTTTTCATAAAGATCTTTTTGTTAGAAAAATGCATATTATGTACAGTAGAACTGTGAAATATATATAAAAAGAAAAAATCTTATATATTTTCCATCACTTTAAAATGCAAAATTCTCATTGTATTTCCTTCTAATTTTTATTTCAATGCACTGTACACAGTTTGCTTTTTATAACTGAAATAATATATAAAATCATATATCCATCTTTTTTCACTAACATTATACCAATTTCCCTTTTTGTTATTTCTGCCTAATCATTTTAAAAGAATACACATGGCATCTATTGAGTCAATTATAATTTGGTTAGCCATACACTTATTGTTTGACATTTATGTTGCATCCAGTTTTTTATTATTTTAAGTGAAAAAAATGAAAACTCTTATAGTTTCTTCTGTATTAAGTGTTATTTTTTTAGGAAAGATATATAGAATTACAATTACTGAATAAGACATTGTGAACATTTTAAATCTCATTATTGCCAACTTGCCTTTCCAAAGGCGATGCCACTTCACTCTTGTTTTAGCAGTGCTTCTTAACAAGCTGATTTTATTTTAAATTTTTCATAGTATAACATACTAGTCCATCATATAGTGTGCATTACTTTGATTATAATGAGGTTGAATATTGAATGCTCTGCATGGGCTTTTCAAATATTTATAATTCTGTCATTTGTGAGTTCTCTGTTTATATGTTTCCCTAATTATTGTGCTGACAGTACTTTTAATATTAATTCATAGGGGTCAGTTAGGGAGTGAAGATATCATATAATTCCTGAGAATTTGCTTTCCAGTGTTTTGTTTGATGAATCTTAAAATAAACTGATTGGATAAATCACACTGGGAGCATAATATATTAACATATGATTTTCACACTTACTCACTTTTCCAGTTCTTAGGTCAGCAAGAGCAGAAAGAATTGTGCCAGTTTTATTGTGTTTTGCAAGAAATGGGCATAGCAGTACTATGTACAACTGCCATGAGCTGACAAATGGGAACTTGGGAATGGCAAGAAGGCCAAAGACAGTGAATATGACACCCAACTATTTCCAGCACTAATGAATTCTGAATTCATTTCTCCATAGCATTTCCTAGTTCAGTGTGCCACTTCAGGTATAGTACAAAAGGTCCTCCATTGTCAACAAAACCCTTCACAATTCCACAGAAAATGTTCAAAGTGTTTGCCCTTAACACCTTGTAGATTTTTAAAGCCAATGCAAATCAATAAAAGGAAAAATTTAATTGATAGTATTTTTTATACTTAGGCAAACTAAAAAAGAAAATAAATTTGGAGACACATATAAAAACACAGTTATTTCTAGTTAAGGTAATAAATGTACAAAATGAAAGACACAGATTTTTCTTTTTTTCCTACCTATGTCTCTGTAGTCACTGTATCTACAATAAATGTGCTGGTATCATAGTTCATACTGTGTTCTTGCATGCACATAAAATCAGCAATGGCTGAATGAAATGGTGGAAACAATTCTTTGTGCTATTATAATTCAGTTTAAACAATGATTCACCATTTAGTTTACACATTTTTTTTTAGAAAAGGATTCTCACCTTTACTCAGTTTTGTCTTCCCATGAGCCTCAATCGCCTTTTTGAGAAGAATGAAACTATGTTAGAGATGAGGTAGAATTAATTTATGAATCACCTTTTAAAGTCAGAGGTTCTTAAGTTGAAGACAGGTCAAAGACAATGCTTCACAATATTACAGTGATTTTAAGAAAAGTCAATCACTTGAAGGTCACAGCTCTGAGAAATGTATGTCCACACATTGCAAGTTGATTAGAGGTATCATTGGACAATTTTCCAGACATTTTTTATTTAATTTAATTACCTTGGCATCCTTAAATTAAAGGAAAAGAAAAAATGATAGACCTTTTTGAAATGTTAAATCAAACATAGTTAAAATATTTTTTGGGGGATGGAAGATTCCATACAACCATGCTCGTCAGAGTCTTCCCAAGATGCTTCTTTACTCAGAAACAGTAAGCATGTGTGGAGTAACTGAATACAGATAAGGAGAAGTTAATCTACAGCAAATGTTTGGTCAGCACTTCAGTCCCAATAGGATTTCTGGATTTTACCAACCTCAATTAAAGTTTAATTGCAAAAGCAACCAGGAGTCTAACACTGGAGAAATCTTAACATACTCTCTTAAACTTTGTCCTCTGCCTCACTCCCTTATGTATACTTTCTTCAGTTAAATTCAAGTAAGTGTCAAGAGAAATCATGTATTAGAAAAAGGCACCTTAATGGCACACTGATAAAAACAGTTTTGTGAGGTTTAGTGATTTACACACAGCCAGTCACACACTAGTCATGACCACTGTTACTCTTTTCTTCATGCTGTTTGAAAACAGACATTCCAAAGCCAGTATGGCTATTTTCTTTGTCCCCATCACAGCCCACTCTCTGATCTACACCATTCACATCTCAAATAACCCTTTGTTTATAATAGACATTCATTTAAGGTCAGTAGGGTTTGGATTTTGCATTAAAAACAATATATTATTCACTCAAAAACCTGGTACTAGGCTTTCAAGAGCACCCTCCCATGCTGTATCTATGATTCTAATAGTTTTTGTGGATGTAGATGATGGATTGATGGAGGTAGTGATGATATGGCATGCCCAAGAGTCATCATGTTAAAAATATTTACCAGTAGACCCCTGGGAATTGTATATCAATATTTGTATTTGAAATTTCTGGGAGCCTAAAATAAATACACACATTCATAGAATGCAAAGAGATGTTCATTGCTCTGATAGAGTTTATAAACCAAAGGAAGCCTTTTAAGAAAAGTTATGTACTATAGACTATCTACTATAAGCTCATTTGCTTGTCCCAAAATCTATAGCAATTAAATCATATATTTATTGCTTTTCTTATTGCTAATTGCTTAAGTAAAGGCTCCTGTACACATCAAAACTGCCAGCAGAAAGACATTGTATTGCTTAACTGGATTTCCTTCCAGAGCACATATAATTGTGAACTCCAAATATAGTGCCTGTCAATTACTGTTAGTTTTAAGGGAGTCAGAGTTCTTATAATCAAACACAACACTATTAGCATTAGAAAGCTAGATAAAAACTTAAATCATGATTTTCCTAGCTGTCATTGCCTTCCTAACAATTTCTCAAGGTCTTTGGCTTTTTAACAATGTGAATAGCTAAGTTCAAATTGTGTGGGAGGTTTTTTTAATTAATAAAAACTAATAAATGAAAGTAATTACTATTAATAATGACACTAAAGATTACACTTGTTGGGTAAGAATTTTTTAGTACATTGTGCACCCAAAATTCTAAGAGGCAGTCTTCATACTAAGTAGATACTCACAGGGCTATATAGATTTATCCTGCAAATGGAAAATTACCAGGATAAGGGAGGTATAAAGTATGTGTGTGTGTGTGCATGTTTGTGACTATTTAGACAGATTTGTTAAAATTTGCACTGTTCACTACTCAGTATCTGCTCTTCTCATGTGCATATTTTGTTTTTCAAAGTGGGGACTCTTATTGTTATCAAATTTAAAAGTCTAAAAGATATCAAGAATGTCATGAAATATGAAGTGCATAAATAAAATTCTCCTACTTAAAATTTGGATCATATTACTAAAAAAACAAACTCTTAGAAAACAGAAATTTTAGGAATTCCAGAATTCTCAAATCACAGGAAATCTGGTGACCATTTTAAACTAATCCCTACCATATGTCTAAACCATTTCCCAGATACTGGAATTTAGCTTGTGTTTTAAAAGTTCTTCAGCTGCCTATCTGAAACAATTTACTGTTTCAGGAAATGATAAAACACATCCCTAAAGGAATGTATAGTGTGGTTCAAATTCTTTCCTCAATACTGTTGACATATTCCGTGAAAAATACTAGGACTTTCCTTAAAGATTTCAGTGTAAAGTGTAGACTTATGATATTGATTTATTTGTTTCTTTGCACCTTAGAGCAAAATTATCTTCTTGTAGCAATTAATGGACTAATATAACTTTGTCAATTCTCCCTGCAATTTTTTTGGGGGCAAAAAAACGAACTGAAACACGCCAAAATTTTATCTTGAAATATAATTTGTTCAAATGATAGGATGATTTATAGCTAATTTAGTATAATTTTAGAAATAAGATTAGGGCTTCTTCTTACTTCCTTGAAGTACAACTTTTTATATTGGACTGTATTTTATTTATTCAAAGTACAACTATTTATTGAGTGTATACAAAATACTAGGTACTGTGGAAAATCAAAAGAAACAAATATAAATAAGAAGGAGATTGATTTTATTAGTTCTTGATGGTAAGTACCAGAGATTTGTTATTATTTTTCATATATTTATTTGCCCCTCACCTAGAAAAAGGAATATAGAAATACATATAATAGCATAAAACATAACCAAATAAGTCAGGGTA